TAAACGGTAAGACCAAAAAAAGCCAGTTAACTGTCTGTCAATGGACCGTTAACCACACAGTTAACTAGCTGTTTTTTGGCTTTTCCGTTTACTGGCAGTTATTAGACGGTATTTTTGCAGACCTAAAAACGGCCAATAAACTAGACAGTTTTTAGGTGGTTTTTAGACAGTTAACACGTTGTCAACTGGCAGTTTTTAGGCAGACTGTAAACTGGCAGTTAATGAGCAGTTTATTGCCCGTCTTTTTTCTCCTGGGTATGAACCACAACGATCATGTGTCCAAACTCGCGACATGTCCTAAGCCTTATTCTTTGTCGCACCTGAAAGTATAGCTAAACCTTACAGTAATTACAACAAGCGCCAAGTAATATCTGTTTCAACTGAAAACTACTTCGAAGTAAATGCTCACAGTTTGATCATTAGTCGAAAATCGATATTCTTCAGAAACATGAATTCCAGGAGAGATCTGATTAAGCACTCGATCGTGCGTGTTCTGGAAAAGATATTTCAGTGCCAATCAAAGTTAATATAACGACGCACTTTTCGTAAAAGAGAAAGTTTTAGTAATACAAACGTTTGTTGCTAGCAAATATTTGAAGTTATTGTAAGAAAATATACCAAAGTATTCTCTATATTATCGGCTATAAAACAAATTTACACTTAGATATCATAACTGGTATTGCAGATGTTTTACACACTGCGAGTGGAATGATCTACGCATACGCCTGTAGCATCCCATTTGTTTGAATCTTCCGGGTAAGATTCGGTTTCTCAGCATGCCTAATGATAGGTTACAAAAGAAAATTCTGGATCTTCTAACGTGCTCTTCTCTTTATTTGGTTTGTGTAGATTTATTCAGACCTCAATGAAAATGAATGGACATTACAAGCATCATGTACTCAAGATTCACAATTTGAAGCAACAAAATAAAATTATAAGAATTGTACTGAACGAATGTTGTGCATTGTGAATCGATCGACTGCATTGTGTGATGAAATGTGACGAACGGTGTTGATTTCAATAGGAAATAGAAAACATTCAATAAAAAAAACGCTCGATAGTTTTCAATAGTGATTTTTCACTGGCGAGAGAACCTCTCGAGGTGTTTCCTCGCTTTTGAGCCGATATTTTGCCCATAAGCAGGGGATTTTTAAAACTACAATAACCCTAAGTTGGTTCGGTTGTCTGAGCCTCTGAAGCAGTGGAATAAAGTTACGCTTCGCGAAGAAATATGTGACACATTATCGATATTGCATTATAATTATTGGAAAAAGCTAAAAGTAAAGCCGGCACGATGAATAGAGTCCCAGTTTCCTGTATGCATGATATTGCAGATGAGTCATATTCTACATGCCTTTTCAGGGATGTCAAGTTTCGGCCTCTCTGACAATGAAGCAACTTTGACCTTGTTTTTCTCTACATCATAATTTTAAGACCGGTCATTATAACGTGTATTCACCTTAACTAGCTGGTGCTTAGCGAGGTCAATGTTTAGCTGACTGAAATTAAGTCTGTAACGGAAAAAATCAATGTCAGTCATGCGGTCGTTGGCTACAGGTAGTCGAAATCGTGTCAGTGATCGAAGGTCATCGGGAAGTTCGTTCCAAAGCATAGTGGTTCTGTGATCAATGACTCTTGTAAGCCTTTGATCCTACTTAGGGTAGTCCAAAAGCAGTGGTTTCAGTATTATATTACTCCATGGAAAGCTTAAATAAAATTTCTTCCCATATGTACTTGTAGTGTCAACACTGCTCTATATTTCTTCAATGTATCATCCTTCACCATTTGCTATTGTTATATGAGAAAAGTTCGACGGAAGCTATGCGTCCATGTTTAGATGAATAAAGAAAATTTTCGTTTCTACATTAAAGCGCGTGCTGCACTTCATATTGAACCAAAAGTTATTCACGACGAAGCTCCATCTCGCAGTACAGTTGTAAGGTGGTCAAAATGGTTTCGTGAAGGTGGAGAACAGATTGAAGATGAACCACGACCTGGTCGACCTGTAACCAAGACAACATCTGAAAATATCGAAGAAGTTCGACTCTGAGAAAGAACCAAAACCCTTCTTAACAAGGCATGATTGTAGCGCACACATTTCTGATTAAAATGAGACATCTCCCAGCTCTACACGACCTTTCTTTGCAAAGTTATAGAATTTACAACAAAAGCCCTAAATTTATTTCTTTTTATTTCTGTAGTGCAAGTATAAACTGATACATCCAGTAAAAGTATTGATGTTTTGACTAAGTAGTATTACACAATTTGCTCTTGTTTTGTTACACCTCAGTCTTGTTACGTCCAGTTAAACAACTTTTCTCCATTTTTACAGTGCAAACGTTTTCTAAAAAGGTAAAACAAGACAGTTTCCAATCGTTTTTAAATAAAAGTTAAATCTCAAATGTGCTATTTAGTAGAAACTTCGTCAAGTATTTCCCATCTACATAGACAAGCACCTGCCTCAATCTAGGGATCGAGGATCGATACCACACATCGAACATACTTGATCTGTGATTGTAAAATATGATGGTGTGCATTTTTTTGGTCTCAGAGAATGAAAGCCTCTTGATTAACAATTAAAGATATACTAGGATATATCAGAGATTATGTATGGAAATAAACCCAAATTTAATCTGTATCTCATATTCGTCACACTTGTGTCTCACACACTAAATAGTATAGCGCAATTTTTATTAAGTTCAGAAGAAATAAGACCATCAGTCCTTGTATCATGTCCAAAAAGCGAAATTTGAAAGGGATAAAGAAACAAAAACATTTCAGAAGCATTTTCAACGAAAATTCTGGAATCTCATTGCGCTTTTTAAAAACGTTTCTAAATACTTAAAAAAGAATGATTCTCTTTAGTCACAGGCCATCTTGTTCTTCAGCAGCAGGAAAATATGTCACTTTCGCAAAAACAAATAACACAACCTATCCAGATGTTCGACGATATCGATCATATCGGATTTGTGCATGCCTTCTTATATTCATAATTTTCTAAAATGCGCATTGAACAATTTTCGATAGGTATATATCTTGTTATTACAAGCACCCAAACATATCTTTTAGAAAATCACTTATCCTAAAAGGAGTTTTCATCTAATATTCGTGTGATTGCCCACTGTATGAGCCAATATTCTAGGAGTCTAGCACAAAGAAGGTTAGGAGTTATAGTTTTAAATGTTCAGCAACCAAAACAGTCTGTTTTCCATTCCTGATTGAGCAACCAATAAAGTTTTCTCAAACATGTTTGCTTTGTGAAAGTGACATTATACATGCAAACAGACAAAATTCCATATGACTTGGAAATATAAGCATTTTCCTAACATTCGATGCTGGTGGACTTCACTTCACCCTCCTCCCATTTTTTTGTCCTGACTTCCTCTTTAAATGTTTCTATACCCCATGAAGTTAATTCATTATTAACAATTTTATTTGATGAACGATGTAACTTTTCTTGTGATGATTTAAGTGCATTTTTAGCATAAATTTTTAGTTCTTTACCATGTTCAATAATTATACCTGATGGAAAAGTATATCGCAATTCCGGCAATGAATCAATACGTCGTTTTAATATCCAATATGACATATTTACATCTTCCGATGTTGAAGTATTTTCTAATATTATAAATTCACCATATGAAGCACACTCTTCTACAAAATAATAATTAATATAAAAGGGATAGTTTTCAAATTCCATTGAAGAAATTTAGCAAAACAACAGTTGCTTATGACGACTGAAACTGTGATTAGAAACAACTTTTTCCATGGAAAAAAGATAGAGGTTCAATTCCTACTTGAAGCAGCAGCTTTCTTTCTATTCACTGTCGTGTCATAATCTGTCGGTGGTTGCAAGTAAACATCAGAGTCATAAAACTAACACGCTTTCTCTTCTCCTTCTTTTTCTGGTTTCTTTCGAGAACGTCGGCACTGTTTGTAGTCTTCCTGACTTCTGCCGGCCTCTCGAAGTTGTTTGCGCCTGCAGTTTGTCAGTTTACTGCGAAATTTCACTGTCGATTGTCGATAAGACACCATTTTTCACTGTTTCCTTTCGACAGATTGCGAGTTTCGATGAGTGCAGGTTAATCTTTCATAAATTTGTTGACGTCTCGAACTACTTTACTGGTGTAATTCGTACTTCTCAGATTTACAGTTCTTTCCGGCCTTTTTTTGCTGCTTCTTGTTCTTTTCCTTGAACGTTCTGTCACTCGCATTTGGACTTGTACCGATGTCTAGTTAATCAGATCGCGCAAAGAACAATCTGCTTTTCTAGCGAACAACTCAGTGAATAACGGTATAGTATCTTACAGCATCTTGTCAGTAACAAAGATCTAAAAAACTCGCCATTTACATCCACGACTTCGTACGTCAATTTGAATAAAATAGCTGCGCTTTGTTTTCTAATCTTGATGCTGATCTCATGTAACTGAAAACGGTACTAACTGGTAGAAAGTCTCGCAGTTTTGTTATCATTTATAAATTTTTGTAACTATTCATTTGATATGCTGATGGCTGCTGTTCGTCTAGAATAAATAACGAAGACATATGTTGATTGTCTTTCATGTTATTCGCCAGACGGCCGGCGTACGATTTTTGTTTATGTTTTGTTTATTCTTTATTTTCTGAAGTAAGCGTTTCAGCTCTTGCAGAATGAAAACAATAAGAAGACTGAAGTTGTCTTTGAAGTGTGTGCATACGTTAATGTAAATTTTTCTTTTCTCTATTCTTTCTTTAAAGAGAAAAAACAATGCGTGCTGCCCTAACGCAACGTATATAGCTATTCAATGTAAGAACAGAACAGAAAGTTCCTAAGATTTTCAAAAAATTCTTACGTTTCAGCGTGCCCACGTGTAAAATGTCGTGAAGGCTGGCTGGTAAGCATAAGTACAAAATTTCTTCTCTCGTGTCCGAAGTCAAGTGGGTTTAGTGACAGTCTCTCAGATTTGTGATTAGAAGTACCTCAGCTCGATTCTCATTTTCCGAAAATATACAGAAAATAAAAGCCGTGAGATTTAACTACTATCCGTTTCAAAACAGAAGGCTCTGTACATTGGATTTTGGAGGTATCAATAATAATTAAGGTATAACCTGACAAAAAAGTTTAGTTTTCACGATAATGCGTTTAGTTTAAGGTGCCGAAAATTTAAAGTTAAGTGAAATTTATTTATGCAAAATTCATGTATGGTTGGATCGAGCTCGTCGAGCTGAACAAGAATATGTGTGTTTTAAAGTTTCGAGTTAAATTTCTAAGGTCGAAAATTTCAAAAACTCAAAATTTTAAAAAGCGCGCTTATTTTTTAAAAACGAACAGCTTGAATTCATTGTGTTTGAGAACCTCTAAAGGTTTTAATTCTTGTTCTACATGAAAAACTGCATCCGAAAAATATCCTTTCGATGCTATTCAAGTATGATATGATCTAAACAATTTTAGTTTTTCATCGATAGCCCAATCCCGTTCATGTGACGGCAAAAAGCTTCAAGTCTCTTATACACGGAAAAAGGGAACTCGTCAAAAGTGGGTACGAATCAATCGGATCGGACAAATCATTCGGAGCATCCTGATCAATTGTAGAATACCGTAAAGCGCTTCTCTATGATGTTTGTAAGAGAGAAAATATATAAAATCTATCTTTTCTTCTTCATTTTATTCATTTTTTTCTATAGATTACTTTTATTAACTCTTATATATAACACATCAAAGGACACATCAACTGTGCTAATTAATTATCGGTAATGATAGATATGTGGCTCTCAGTATTAGTGATTAACGTTTAATAAATCATACTTTCTTCTTTTATATTCAGCAGCTAGATAAACTGTTCTTTTTGACTACCATGACTATCCGGCTTTCTCTTCGGCCATGATAATCAGTCATAATATGTGTTCAAACTTTAGTTATTCAGTGAATTAATTTTCTACATTAATTTTATGAAGAAAATGAAATAAAGTGGAAATGAAACATGAAAATAAGATTAAATGGAAATTTGGCTTATTTTTTAGAAAAGCGTATTTTGAGATTTTGTATATTCAGAATAGTGCAGTGTATTGATTGCGTGCTTTAGCATGACTCGTATATATATATATGTGTATATAGAACGTTATTTCTCTTTAAAGAACAAAATAAGGAAAGGCAGATTTTATATTTTTATTGACATGTTCGTTCAAAAGATGTACTGCTGGCTATGATTTTATTATATATTCTGCCTACTTCGCGAATTAAAACTAAAATAATTGGAGAAGACCCTTTTCCACTTTTTATACTAATCTGAAGCACACAAGTTGTAATTACTATATATTGATCTGTTTTTTAGAAAAAGGTCCCTTTAAAGATATAGAATTATCAATATCACAGATTAAAGGTAGTAAAATGTATGGATTTCGCTTTAGTTCTAAAAGCTTCACGAATTTGGAATGACCAACAGAACTTTCTTGATCAATTTTCTAAAGATGGTACTTAGAGGAGCCAAGGTTGAGCTTTGTTTTTTCCAGTGAAACGGCTGATGAAAAGTGAGACCCATACGCTTTACTACCTTTAGTCTGTGATATCATCTTTCTTAAGCATAAGCTGAATGAATATTTCGGCGAAAAAATAAGATTTCTGGAAAAAAGACCTTCTCGGTTCAGTTTCGTATGAAAATAAATGGGATAAGTCCAAACGTAGAGCATTATAAGTTAAAACGTGTAACATAACTACTGATGTAATAACACAGTTTCCACAAACTCTCAGCATTGCTGGTTTTCTTAAAGCTATAAATTTTCAAAAAAACGTTCTTGAGCCATTGGACGCTGTGTATGTCAGTCTGGTCTCATAGATCGAACGGGATATATATCCTGATTGGGCTGTGATATCCTGATCAGGATATATATCCCGTTCAGGCTATAATATATATCTTCTTCGAGATATAGCCCGATCAGGATATATTTTTCTATCGCGAATGGGATATGGTATACTGAAGGCACATCAGGACACGGTGCTTTTTGTTTTTGGATGCGCGAGTGTGCGTTCATCTTTGGAGAAAACTAGTTTTATCCATAGCAAGCCTACAGAGC